CAGAAAGTATCGTATAAAACAAATGATGTTTTTTTTTTGTCAATATTACGGTGTTGTCAGATGATTTTAATAACAAATTAAAATTATAGATCAGAATCACTCACGAGTTGTTTTCGTTTTCTTTTATAATTGTACTTTTTTTTTTGTTGTTGTTTTCTTTTGCTAATAATTGATCTCTTCTTTTTTTTTTTTTTTTTCTTTTGCGTTTATTCTCTATTTTTGTTACCGGTCCCATGTCCTCTGCAATAAAGATTATTAATCACTTCTTTTTTTTATTAATCACTAATGACTTTCTTATTTTAAACAATGATCATATTAGATGAATGGCATTAGAGTCATATTTTCGATGTAAGTATGACACAAACTGTAGTATTCACTACTTCCTTGATGGATCCCAAAATTTTGCATCCGATAGGCTCTAGCAGTGATGCTAGCTAAAATATTGATATGTTTATGAATTTCTTTGAATTAAATATGCATGAATATTGTTTTATGTTAATGATAGATAATTTTTCAACACCGGCTAGAATCGACAAAAATGCAAAGATCGAGACAAAGACTTAAAATTCTGTCTGGGCTTCATAGAGATATTTCAGCCCAAAAAACATGAAAAATTAGCATTTTCTGTAGGTTTTTTCACAAGAAACAGAACACTGAAAAAAACCATCCGTTACAAAAAATGATCATCTTAATGAGTGGCATTTATGGTAAAATTTTCAGACGTCTCGCATTTTTAATAGAGGAGCTAGATAAGGTCCAATTTGGCTGGAAGGTTCACCTTGTCCTCCCCATTTGGACCTCTTCACAAGGTTTTCCATTTTTTCGAACCCACAGCTATGCTTACAGGTACGAGTCCTACAAGCCCTGAAAGTTTCATTCCATTCCGATGAAGTCGATGTAACCTCTGGTTCACTCTCGATAGAAGTACCCCTCCTCCATGGGGTCAAAACTTCGCAAGGTGCATTTTTCAATGTCATCCATACACTCCATTATCCAATCAAAATTGTACGGACATCTGCTAGCTTCTAGCATTTATTTAAAATATTTCTCCAAGATTTTCAAAAACTCGAGAATTAGAAAATTTTCAAGGTGGTACATATGTGCACCACCGGGACTCAAAGGGTTAAGGAGTACAAAGTGTAACACAATATTCATCACATCGAAAAACATAAAACTTAATCACTTATTTTAGAAGACTATTAACACAGTTTGTGACTAAAGTCAGTTCAATAAGTCTATTTTATATTTTAATAATGATTTCTCAATTTAACTTTATTTTATATTGACTATAAATGTAAAGTTTTATTTCGATAGTAAATATTTCATGTTGATCAATTAATTTTTCTGAAAATAATTGTATTCACAAGTAAAATCAGTTATACAATGTATATTTTATCATTTTGATCGAATGTATCTTTAAGTTTTAGTATAAATATATTCTATATTTCAGGAAATACATATTTAGAGAAATACAATAATGTTTAAGGACTCTATAAAAATAAAAAAATAAAATCTGGACTAAAAAAAAGAAAAGGTCCTTTGATAATATGATTCTGAAAAACTTTGACTAGATTTTGTTTTTTCAAATAAAACATGTTGTTCATTATGATTTCTTGTTTAATGTCCATTTTGTACTAATAATTTTGGCCATTCTTCTTCATATTCTGATTGCATTGTTATATTTTCTACTCGATTAACCATAGTACCAAGCCGTGTTTGTATTTGATTATTTTGTTGATTGAATTGTTGACAAACTGTTTTAAGATCTTGAAAAATTGATAATAATTGATCAACATTGATATTTTTTGAAGTAGTTTTTAATGATGATAAACGTGCATTCCATTTATTTTCAAAGCTATTGATCATTGCTTTGAGTTCTCTAATTATATAAGAAAAAGAAAATAAATCATCTAAATACTATTTCATGGAACTTACAATTCTTGTATACGAATTAATTCCTTAACACGTTGTTCAGTCAAGTAATTTTGAGGTTGTTCATTCCAAGAATCTTCAGATTGTTTGTTTGAAGCATTTTGAACAGTTTTAGGAATATGTAGGTTTCCATTTTGTTGTGAATGATACACTAATGACCATAAAGGTTGAACAGGACATCGTTTACCATCAATAAGAATATATTTGTCATTGAGAATTTTCATTACCAACGAATTAGATTTAAAATTCAATCGAACAATATCAACTGGTTTTCCATCTTTACCATAAAATCGAACAATTTTTTCGAGACCTAAATAGTTATGTCTCAAGTCTTGTGCTAATTGTGCACATATTAGATTGGATGGAACTTGTAAAGCGATTAACGATTGTGTTGATGATTGAATGGAATATTGTTCATCACCAATTAGAATATAATTGTCTTGAAGAAATTGCTTAGCAATATCAACTGATTTTAAATCAATTTTAATTGCATCTACTGAATTTTGATTATCATCTTGAAATTTAATTTGAGAGACCTTTTGGATACCAACATATTTTTCTCTCAATGTTTGTAATAAATTTTGTTCATCTTTTTTGAATTGGATATTTGAGAAAACCACTGATTGTATGCATATTTGTGTTGATAAAAAAGATTGTTGCCTCGAAGACATTGTATCTAAGAAAAATGGCTTTTGTCATAATGGTTCTCGTTTAAATACTGTTTTCAAACGAACGAAGTTACTCAATAGTAGTGTAAGAAAGTGAAAAAACTTATGAGTGATAGCATATTTCCTATATTATCAATGAAATAACGAAAATGATGTAATATCGCAGTATACTTTATTCATACGTCAGCGAAGAAAAGGAAAGAAAAAGAATTGCACCATCGTTATGCTCGAACAAAATAAATTGATGTTTGTAGGTGTATTGAAATTGGACAAGCCGCGATTTCGTGTCTTATTCCGTTTGAGCCTGAAGCATACTTGGACTATGGAGTGACTGACTTTCGGGAAGGTCATTCCTAGGCACGAAATCAACTCGATACTTGTCCTTTTTTTTTCACTCGTTTCTTTTTTTTTTTATTACTTCTGTTTGTTACACGTCATGATGTTTTTCTTTCACGTTCTAGAATTATGACTTTTCTTTTTTTATTACTCATGAATCACGTGTGTATTCTCACAGATCTTTTCGTTGTTGATGTTCACACATTTAGTCATTGGTTTCTTCCGAATAGATATATAGAAATAAGATTTACTTTTAATAAATATTATGTCCATGACACATATCATGATTACAGAATATTTGCATGATAGTTATCTTTATATATGTAAGATGAATATACATGCATTTAGAAACGATGAACTTTTTTTTAGAAGTTTCAATCGTCCGAATAAGAATGAAATTCTTTAAATGTGATGTTACTTGTTAATAAATTTTCTTCTTATATAGCAGAAGTTGTATAAGATGGATAACAACGTTTACATGTTATTTTCACTTTTATATTTTACTCAAATATTGTCAGTTTCTATAAACAAGTACAAATCTTAATTACTGATATTTTAGAATGATTTTATCGTCATGATTTCAGTCATTTTATTGATATAGTTTAGTATAAGAATCTAATAAATAAACAACTTATTCATTAAATATATTTTCTGTTAGTCTTTGATAAATATTGAACTCTTGATTGTATTATACATAAAAATCATCACTTGGGTTTCAATAAACAAACTTTTCTCAAATAAAAAAAATCTTTTTTTCAAACGAAAATGTTTTATTTTAAACAAAAATATTTTTTTTTTAGGAAAAAAAGAACTTTTTTCGAACAAAACTTTTTTTTAAATCAATATAGCAAGGCTCCATGATTCACAGTCAATGTTCATCTAGAAAGAAAAAAAAATAAAAGAAAATTATTCAAAGCAAGAAGTGCTTACGTTCTAGTTTATGTAGTTCTTCTTCAATTTGATACACTTTTACTACCAAATCAGTAACTCGGTTGAGATACATGGTAAATTTTGTCGGAGAATCGATGGGTGAACACGTATATAATGCTTGACGAGCTTTATGTAGTTCTCTTTTCGTGTCGATTTCTTGACGTTTTACTTGTAGAAGCTCAAACCAAAACCAAATTATTAAACTTCTGTTAGTCAAGTATGGAAAAAAAACAAAAAAAACTACGAATTATTCTAACGAGCAAAGACTCTTGAAAACAACTGCCTGACAATATTTTCGAAACATTAGATAACAGATTTGCTCCATGAATAAATCTATAGCCATCGGTAAAGCTTTTAAATTAAACTCAGACATTTCATTAGTTATCGTTCTTTTTATAGCTTCAACTCTGTCTTTATTTTGTATGTTCAGTCAATTGTTTTGTTTATGAATGTCCAATAAATAAATAATAGTGCTTATACTTACGATATGACAACAGCAAGGACCTTCTTTCTGTGAAAGGTCATCAATAGATGAATATAGCTCAGAAAGCAGAGACATTTGTAAAGACTATTAACAATAATTGAGCATAAATAACATCAATTTTAATATCGATAATAATACCAACAATGAAATCCGATAAAAGCACGAATAATGATAATGTAGAATCACTAAAGGGTGGTTCATAACTGACGTCTAAGTGAGAGACAAGAAGTATAATTTTCTAGTCATTGAGTATTCAGTGAAACTTTCTACGATGTATTTATTTATCTTGCTTCGATTCACGAATATCAGGATTATCAAACTTAGATTTTCATATCGAATTGTACTATTCTTCAATTCAATTAGTTTTTCTCTTTATATTTAACAAGGAATTAGATTTGACTTTAACATAGATTCGATATTTTATGAGTCTTATAATCACCAAGTGAATGACAATGTCGACAAAGATTTTGAAATAATAATCAAAATATGATGATAAATTAATAGATAATGTACTAAAATATGAAGAAGTATATTTCTAATTGTTCATCAGAATCTGTTCCGATTGCATAATAAAATAGTTATATTCAGTTGTTTAGTAAATGCTGTTTTTATTTTGACAAACGATCATTGGTTATTTTTAAATTGTTTGATTATTGTAAACGACCATGAGTAAAATTTCTCAAACTCTGATTGAGACTAGCCAATGTGATTGGCGGTAAACGAACAGTTAATGATGGTGCTGTTCTTTGTCCAACATTGGTAGTTCTTACGATTGGTAATGGTGCAAAAGATGTCGAATGATTATGTGTCATGAATGTTTCATTCGAATAAAGAAATATTTTAGTATATGTTAATCCATCAACAATACAGGCACTTAATGCTGAACGAAACAAATTCATATCAGCTATATCGTACCTAAGTCGAACAATTAATTTAGTATGTTAATATGAAAAAATTACCATTCATCTGTTGTATTATCATAACATTCAACATTTGATATTGTAGTTAAACCATTAAATCCACCAATAGTAAACACAAGATCATCAAGAACCTATAATAGATTTTCATATTATATAAATAAAAGAAAAATTAATAATATTCACTTCAATAGCAAAATTGCTTCTTGGATGAAACATATCAGTAATTGGTCGCCATGTATTCATGGTTGGATTATATCGTTCACCTGTACTAAGACGTGATGTACCATTGAAACCTCCGATAGCATAGACTGATCCACGATAAGCAATTACACCTTTTACGATGCAAAATATAAATAAACAAATAAAATAAGTGCTAATAACTAACCAACACCACTTCGACGACTACGCATTGGTTGTATCATTGTCCATTGATTTGTAATTGGATTATAGTATTCTGCCGTTTGTAAACATTCTTGTCCATCAAAACCACCACAAATGTAAACTAGATCTGCATTTAAATATATACATTTATTGAGTATGGCAAAAGTTTTATGACATTCTTTGCTTTACATGTAACTCTGTTCAGAAACATGATAAAACGTTGATCGTTGTTTTGAATAGTTGCACCACTGAATGTTCCACTCAAATCATAAGATCCGATTTTCATTGTTATATTCAATTTTAATAGACTACTAACACTGAACACGTGTATCATCTTGTTGTATCTTACAAGAAAAAGGTCGCAAAAGTTCTTTTTCTTTTTTAATTGATAAGACAAATCACTTTTAATTAAATCAATCTTAGTTAAAAATAGACTACTCTAGGCACGGTCAAAAAAATCAAAACGTTCATCATCCCACCGATACTTCCTAAGAAATCAGTACTTATTTCTCCTCAGCGTGTATTCATCACTTTCAGTTGAAGTCAAGTTCTCCTTGTATTATTTTGTTAAGTTAAATTCTTTTTTTATCATCCCTTTCAATAGTCAAGAAATTTTAGTCTAGCGATTTGTATATCGAGTTCACTGTTTTTAAACGATGAATTTGACAGCAACCCAGCAAAAAATTCTTTTTTTTTTAAAGCGAAACATTCAGATCAATTGACAAAGATGTTGTTTTTCCTTTTTTTTATTTGAAATGAGAATGAGTAATAATCCTTATGCTTTGAAAGTCACATTATGTCTCGGATTACTTTCAAATATTATAACCAAAATAAATGAACAATAATTATAAAAACCAAAATTCAATAATGTTCGATTTTCTCTCATTTTTCTCTCTAAGAAATAATAAGTTACTATACGTATTCAGTTTTATTAGTATATTAAAATTTTTTTCAATAGCTATAAATATTTAGTTTTGAGATCTAAGTAAAGCATTCAATGATGCATCTTATTAAAAGAAAAGATCAACAGTTCATCATACTCCCAAGCAGAGTTACATACGAAATAAGAAATTTTGTAAAAATTTTGCCACACTTAGCATACAAACATGACAAAAATTCAATACTATTATATATATATTACCATTAAGTGTACATGCTGATGCATCACTTCGTTGCATATGCATTGGAGAAATAGTTGACCATTGATTAGTTTCAAATAAATATTTCTCTGCTGTATTATGTCTTACATGCCCATTAAAACCACCCATAGCATATAATAAACCATTTAAATAAGCTACACTAACATAGCATCGTCGTTCATTCATTGGTGCTATTTCATTCCATATTCGATCAGTTAAATGAAATGAACGACATGAATTATAATATTCAGTACCATCAAAACCACCAATAACATACATTTTATTACCAACTGTAATACAACCATGATACGCACGTGGTGGAACTATAAAATATAAATATTCGATTGAAGAAAATTAACACATGAGATATGAGAAACCTTGATCTAGTGATGATTAGGACCAATAATCTTTGATTCCAATCAGGAAAAATTTTGATCCTGGTTTCGCGCTTAGTAATACATGTACTAGCAGAATATGTGATATCATTTTTTAGTAATGTCAAAGAGCTCGAGATACCTTGCATCACTCGTATAATCTCTAATATCTTTTATTTTGAAAATGCATTAGTTTTTAACGTTCATTAATACTTGATCTAAGCTGCATGTTTATGTGTTCGACAACTCTATTGTTTATGAAAAAAGGATTCATTCTGTTATCAAAATTGTAAAAGGAATATTCAATCTTTTTTAAGTGTTGATCCTAGTGCTTGCCTCAATTAAAAAAGTACTTTGATCCCGATTTCAGGATCATCTTGTACATATGTACCTTGATCTGTTGAAATCACTGTCCATTTATCAGCTCGAATATCATAAGCTTCGAGCATACTTGTTGCATTACCACCTGACCATCCACCATAGGCAAAAATCATTTCATGTGCATGTCGAGGACGAATAAAAGGACAATTAATATCTGTATCCTAAATATACAAAATACATTTTTCTTTTGAACGAAAAACTAATTATAACAAAATGAATGTTTCTTCATTGATGAAAGATTTCCTTTTTCTCTTACCATTATTCCATCATTATCTAATTTATATAATAATCTGAGTGTTTCACCAATCATGGGTTTACATTCATCATTATTTTTAATATATGGATGTTGTTTTATTTTACTCGTAAATAATTGTACTGGAATCAAACCAAGTCGTAAATTACGAATCAATTGTGTGATAAACTATTAATATAGAATAAAAAAAGAAAAGTATATGACTTCTATAAACAGAAAGAATGAACAACACACTGATTTTCGTTTTTCAATGTCATAATCAATCCATTGAATACATGCATCAAATAAGTTTTCTTCATTACGTATATTCAAATCATCATTTGTAATAAATTCCATAAGTCGTTCAAATGAAAGTTCCAAAAAACGTTTGTTTATGTTTATTATTTTAATAAAATGCTTCCTAGAATAAAATTATGATATTTATATATCTAATTTTAAAATATTTTAAGAATATTCTTACATTAAATATTCATAAGTTACATTTAATAATTTTGAATTTGAATGTAATTTAGCAAAATCATATAAATGAAAAATATTTTCATGATTTAAATTATGCATAAGATATTCACAACAATATTGAAATAAACTTGTCATTTGACATAATTTTGCTGCATCAATTATTCTACTAACATTATCTAATGTTAATATACATTCACGTGTATAAGTAAAATCAAGTAAAGATTCAAGAGCATCACATTCGATATCTAATTGTAAAAATGGATTTTCACTATGTTGCATATTAGTAAAAGCCATACGAAGATATGGACTGGATGCTTAGAGAGCAAAATTTTAAAAAGTTATTTCCAATTTTTAAATAATAGTATCATTTATTTACGTACCAGCTAAGATAAATCGATGAACAGGAAATTCAAGATATTCTTCAGTCATATCTTTTTTTGTTGAAATTTTTGCATCACATAAAAGATTATTTTTTCTTAATTCATTTAATATTTGACATGCTTCATTTGTAAATGCACATGTTCTTTTTCGATCACCTGAATGTGCATTTAAATCTGTCATTGTTGATGATGGTACTGTTCTACTACTACTACTACCACCACTGCCACGAGATTCACTATTAGATCGTGTTCGTTTTAGCATGCTCTCGATGACTAATATTACCTATCACTGTTTTCATATTGTAAAAGGAGTAAGGAATATGTCCTTGCAGATTCTGAAAAATTTATTCGTCTCTTTCACGTTGTCGCCGAGAGAAAAAAAATTAGAAAAAAAAAAAGATGAAAATGAAAAAATAATTCAAGTTTTATATTTCGAATTAGAGAAGCGCCGAGAGATTTTTATCTCGAATATTTTATAATGGAAATTTATTAGTAGTTTATTGTTTTGTTTTTCAATCGAGTTGTCTATTTTTGAATTATATGATCTATCATAAAAAAAAAGTTATTCTATATCTTGTTGACGAAATAAGAACTGCTGAATATGTTAATAAAAATTTTTTTTAAACTGTATCTATGATGATGTATGATAGTTTTTCAAAAATCAGACATGCGAGAAAAGCATATTTATTTATATGAATTTTACGATATCTAATTTAGTAATAGACCGTTTTTTTGTATATTATGACCTTTCTTTTAGTCTGATGAAATGTGTTATATACTATTGATAGATAAACTCGAACAATCCATACAAGAAAAATATTGATAATTCTTCTTTTTATTTTTTACAAAAAAATGTAGAATAAAAGAAGAATATAATCTATGTAGAACAATCATTAGTGGAATTTTTTCAAAACTAAACTATGAGATACGATATAGTTACTATTCTTATCAATGAAAATACCTAAGTACGTAGTATCTCTTTTAATCTGAGAATTATGACATACTGCCAATATGGATTCTGTAACGATACACAAACTATTCAAATGTATCACAGTGAATGTAACTTTTTCTTTGTAGAACCGAACAAATTATTACTAATTGGAAGTATAATTCAATCAACTATGTTATCATCGTTGCTTAAACTAGTTGCTAAAGGTTTAAACGGTCACTAATCACTTTGTTCTAGACTGCGATTCGACCTATAATTCCTATATTTTTAAAAAAGTCCTATTTGTGTTCTATATTTCAATAAAAATTTCTATTTTTCCTATATTTTATCGAAAAACCGTAAGTTTTGCTTTTGTTCTAGTATAATGTTCAGATGTTGAACAACATCTATAGTGTGTTGTCACATATTTTGAACAAACTCATACATTAGGATGACATTTTTAAATAGTGTTGTTCAATACTGAATGCGCTAGTGGTTTTTAGCTTTAAAGATTGGTTTTAACTGATAATCACCTTTATGTTCCATCAGCATAAGCTTTTCAATTGACACTATTTTTCGAAAATTGATTAACAAACACGAAAAACAATTTAAATATATCTTTAGAATTTGAAAAATTAGACTTATATTGTATTCAATTAGTATCACTTAAAAACAATTTTTTCAGTTGAAAACAAATCGAATTAAGTTAGATCTTTTCTATTTTCTTGCACGAAAAAGTTTAAGTCTTTATTAGGCGATGCCATGCGACAATTCTCGTGGTTTAGTATTTTTATCTAAATTTTGTGGACTGTGTTCTTTGTGATGAGATAAGGATAGAGTTTTTCATTCTGTTGTATTTGTAATATTGTAGCACTCATTAATTACTGATGTTCCTAGAAAAATGGCGTTGGACCTGAATCAAATTCAAGAGAACAAAAGGTCCAAGAGATTTCGTAATAGAGTAATTATGACGCCTGCATGAGGATGTGTCTTTTATTAAAGAAATGTTGATCTATCATTTGTGACTTTCATACAATTTTACTCTGAATTTAATTCTGTACCGAATGGTATATTAACTAACTGAGAAACTATCTTAATATTCTGGTCCCTGGCTCTTCTGAAAATGCCGAAATTGAGAAGTTGCGAAATCAAGAGAAAGTTTAACCAATTCAGCTGAAAATTTCAGGAATGATTACTGTCATTGTGTTAAACGTTTACTAAAAGTTTCACATGGATGTAACTTCAGCTTCTAATTGGGCCGAATTGTCAAGAAAAAGTTCTCGGTCTTTTAATCATGACAAATAATATTTGAGTTATTTTCGTTTTATTCTTTTAAAGTTTATGGTCTCCTTTTTTTTGATTATTCATTGATTAGTGAAAAAGGTTCTAAAACTTTAATTAAAGTTCCTAATAATATTTGAGTTAACTATTCATTTCAGTAGAAATGAATCAGATAAGAATCCTGATGACGAGCCCCCTGATCTTGCTTGTTTCATTAGAAAGATATCAAGTGAAGAAGTTAACAAAATCAGAAAATTTAAGCAGAAACAATGTATAATAAATCCTATATTTTTGTCATTTTTGATCGAAAATCCTATATATTAGACAAACTTGATCCTCTAAGGATTCCTATTTTTTTAAAAATTCGCAATTGGAGGCCAGCTTTGTTAGTTTCGAGCTTTACCAATAGTAGTACTTCATAAAGTGGAAAAAAAACATATTTATAAATACCAATTTACAAGACGAAGAAGAAAAAGAGATGGAGTTTGCAATCAATAAGACGTAAGACGGAATGTTGACTCAAACTTATTCTCTGTATTTGTTCGCGACGGAAATAATAAATGTTACTTAAAAATTCCCTGAAAACTTGAGAAGACCTCAAGGTATACATAAATCGATAAAATATACCGCTTCGACCATGAATTAAAACGAGTGACCTGTTATTTTTGCTTCTACTGCTTAAGGTGAATAAGTGTGATTATTATTGTCTGAAAAATTAGAAGGTATTGTAATAGTTACTCAGAGTGTCATCTATTTTAAGGTGTAAATTTCAACTGTTTTGTATAAGTTTTTTTCTTATAGGTCTCTTTCTTTGTAGTTAATTTTGAATACTAGAATATAACTTTAATCATCATTCTATCTATTTTGCTTATCAGTAGATCTGTACGTGTTTCTTCTGTTTTGGGTTTAGTATATATGTATATGTGTATGCAAGCGCCACCATAAATAATAAAATAGACGGTTTGTTCAAAATTAGTGCTTTAGAAAGTTGGCCTTGTCCTTTGATCACGTGAATTTTTTCGTATTTTTTTTACCTTGAACTGATAAATATTTTTTGAGAAGAACGTAAAAGAATCCTGTTTTTATTTAGAATTGAATTTTTTTTTCTTGCTGTTCTTATCAGTAATCAACACTAGCAAAAAAACGGTACTCTTTGCCATTCTATTAATATACATCAGACATCCACTTATTCAAAATGGATCGAATTCAATGCCCTATTTGCTTTGAAAACTTTTCGAATGAGAGAAAACCAATGATCATATGTTCAAATGGGCATTCCATGTGTCCAGGATGTTTTAATGATATAAAATCGTCAATGAAACCAGAATGTTCTATATGTCGTGACAGTTTATTACCAGTGCCTATTGTTAATCGTGACGTGTTAAATTTAATACAAGCTGTGTTTGAATCAATGGCTGCTATACCAGTAATCAAAGCAGAAGAATTAATAGTAGAATCTAAACCATTTGGATATGGTGGTAGTGCTGATGTGTTTCGTGCACAATGGAACCGACATACTGTAGTCATAAAACGTTTACGTACCAATACAAGTGATCCAAAACAATTATCTCAATTGAAAGGAGAAATAAGTATTCATGTTGGATTACGACATCCTTGTATTATTTCTTTATATGGATATACGAGTAATGGTGATGGTAGAGAAATTGTTATGGAATATGCAGAACGTGGTTCATTAAATCAAAACTGGAAAAATGTTGATAAAACACAACTCATCAATTGGGCAATCGATATTATTGATGGTCTACAATATTTACACAGTCGAAAAATTTCGCACAGGTATTTTAGTTCATTTCTTACAATACTTTGTCGAATCGCTATCTAAATTTTCATGACAATAATTTACTCAATATTATTTTATAGTCTTAAAAAAAACTAGAGGTATTGCTTTAGATAGAAACTCTAAAGCAAAAGATTCTTTAGAATTTATCAGAGGCGTAGGTTTTGCCGCTGAAAAAAAAATTGTTCAAGCGTAGATAAAAATCTTAAAACAATCTCATATGAATCGGCTTCGAACTCATTACCAGTTTGTGACTTCATTATGTGTTCGATGTTGTTTTTATTAGGTTTTCTGTTGAATGCAATCATGCTTCGTCAATAAAGACTATGAAAGCAATACGAAAGAGACCAAAATAATGCACGTTTTCGTTTGAACAATAAGAATAAAACACTTATAAAGATATATACATACTAGTTGTAGACAAAGTAAGAACTTTACTCGAATATTCCTCAAACAACATATTCGTCAGGAACATCTTTTTAAAAACTACCTTGGCGTAACAGTGGCACGCGTGATGTTTCAAAGATACTATCAAAATAGCAGCTGTTGAATTTTTAGGAAGATTTTTAATTGCGTGTATTCGTATCCGATTGGAGTATCTACAAATCCAACACGCAGAATTGTGATGAATCTTATGAATTCAATTTAACATTGCTCCTATTTCGATACTTTTTATTAATAAATAAATCACAGAAGCTGTGTACGAAGCTTAGACTTTTCTAGTTATGTTAAACTTGAAAGTTAAATTCAATTATTGAAAATTTATTTCAACTATTCAAGTATTTCGAACAGTTGAGGGAATGATATTCAACTATTCAATAGTTTCTACTCCCTAAGTCCTTTCGCGGCATCCACACCAACTGTGATGAATAGTTGAATATCTAAACTTCATCTATTCAAGAATTGAATACTTCAACTTCAACTATTCAGTAATTGAATAATTGAATACTTCAACTTAAGTTTTGTAGTAATGGAATAGTTGAATACTTCAACTTAAATTTTTCAGTAATGGTATAGTTGAATACTTCAACTTCAACTATTCAATACTTGAATAGTTTAACTCAACTTTCAGTTTTGACATGTATGCTTTACTATCGCTAATATCTCAAACATATAGACAAGGTCTTAGTAATTAGGACGCTCTGATACAGTGAACACATGTCTTAGCACTAACTCGATTTCATTCAGTTCTGAAACTCTAAAAATTTTCGAACAAACTTGTCATCTACTGGGAACTTTCTATTGAAATTTTGAA